TTTATTTATTTATTTGAGATAGAGCGCATATGAGAGAGCACAAGCTGGGGTGGGGGGGGGGATCCTGCACAGGGAGAGGGAGAAGTAGGCCCCTGTGGAGCAGGGACCCCGATGCGGGGCTCGATCCCAGGACCCTGGGATCATGACCTGAGCCGAAGGCAGACGCTTAACAACTGAGCCACCCAGGCGCCCCAATCGTTTGCTTAGTCTTGAGATTGGGGCTGGTGGCCTCATTTCTTAGATTTGATTTTGAAGGCCATCTAAAATGTATTTTAAGTTTGTATTTACTCTTCTGACACATACAGTTTAAAGTCCTGCTGAAGTTTGTACACAAGGTTATAGTTCTGACCTTAACTGACGTTAATTAGGAAAGGTCAGAGCCACAGAACTTTTTTTCCCCCCACAAGCAGAATTTCAGATCAGTATAATTCCAGTGTCCATCTGAGGGCCTGTGGAGCTCCAGGGGTAAAATTAGACCACATAGAAAAGCGGACATATCCTCGGGTAATCATTTGTGAAGATTCTTCCTGAGAACGTTTGAGGGGCGCTGGGCTGTCACTGGAGATTGTTTTCTGGTAAAGATCACAGGTTCTTAGTATAAGGGCAGAATCTTCTGTTGACTCTGTGCCATCCCCCCAGTTTCTGACATACTCATCCGCCTGGAACATGTGTCTGTCAGGAACCGTTGACGGTTTCCCCGTTGTCTGCTACTGGATTCGTACGTATCCTGTGGGCTCCACACACTTGTTACCCCCACTCGCCACCAAGCTGACTCTCAGCCCCGCTGCAGCATCCCCGTCTCCCCTTTACCCTGAGACCCTTCATGGTCAGGTCCGGTGTCCCCCTCCACGAGCCTTTTCCAAGCTCCCCCTCTTGGTTCTCAAAGCACTTTGCTCTCGGGCGCCTGTGTGGCTCCATTGGTTAAGCGACTGCCTTCCGCTCAGGTCATGATCCTGGAGTCCCGGGATCGAGTCCCGCATCGGGCTCCCTGCTCAGCGGGGAGTCTGCTTCTCCCTCTGACCCTCTTCCCTCTCGTGCTCTCTCTCATTCTCTCTCTCAAATAAATAAAATCTTTAAAAAAAAAAACACCACTTTGCTCTTGATTGTGGTTCGTTAACGTACATCTTCATCTCTGTCCTCGACGGTGTGCATCTCTCAGAAACTGTCACCTGTAGGTTTTTGTCGTTGTTGCCTCTACATCCCCGGGGCCTGGGCTCATGCCTGTCCCGCGTGTTTGTGGGATGAGTGGGCCACGGGCCGTGGTCAACGAAGTGGCCCCCATGCTTGTCCCGTGGTGTGGACAGAGCTCCACACCACGATGTGAGCTCAGCTCTTCCGCACCAGGGTCTCCGGTGTCCGGTGCGTGACCTGCGACGTGCCGCAGGAGTGGAGTGGCCTCCAGGCCCTTGTCCCAGCTCAGGGCTCGGGACGGGATGAAGATAGACCACATCCTGAGGCCTTCTCCAAAGCAGCACTACTGTGTATACACAGCCTTCGAGGCACATTTGTGTTTTCCTGGGTCTTTGGGAGGCTTCTGGCAGAAGCGTGAGAGTAACCGGGGTTTCAGTATAACAGCGAGGGGAGGGAGGATGGAGCCGCTCCTATGGGGATTTAGGGAAGAAGTTGGAGGATTGAGCTTTCAACTTCGAGCAACTGTTAAAGCTGAGCAGTTTTTTGTTTCTTAACTTTTGTGTGAGCTAAACAGCTGCTTTCGTGTCCGAGCTTGGAGGAGAGTGAAAGTCCATGTCACGGTCAGAGACTGTCTAGACTGCACACGTTAGCTGTCAGATTTTCTAGAATTGGCAGAACCCCGAAGTTCCCAGCCTGCCATGTGCACGGTACTGGCTCAGGAAAGTGTTGTGTGTGTGCAGGAGGATTCTTACCACACACGGGTGTGACTTCATTTAGCCCAAAGTTAAAATCCGTCTTCACTCATATTTTTCTGTTTTTCCTGGAGGTGTGTGCCTTAGAATCGTTCATGTTGTTGTTTTAAATCTCTGTCCTTTAACTGGAACTCTAAGGACTTCTCTCTCATGCTAAGCTGTTTGGGTTTTTTTCCCCTAAACAGAAGAAGTAAGGAGTCTCAAGGCTAGGGGAGTTCTTTTCTTTTTTTCCTATTTTTTAAAAGCTTTATTTATTTATTTTAGAGAGAGCACATGTTGTGAGTTGGGACAGAGGGAGAGAAGGTCGAGCAGACTCCCCGTAGAGTGCGGAGCCCTTTGCGGGGCTTGATCTCACAACCCGGAGATCATGACCTGCCGCGTAACTGACTGAGCCCCCCCAGGGCCCAGGGGACTTCTTAGCTCATCGGCAGTGACTCCTGTCTTTGGGCCCAATCCAGAAAGGACTTCTCGTTCTTTGATTTGGGTTGACTTTTCCGTGGCTTGAACTCTCTGCCTGAGTCTGGTGCGGGTCTGTGTTCCCACCACTGCCTGTTTCCTTGGGAAAGGAGACTCCGTTGCCTTGGGAAACGGAGACCTTGAAATAAGTGGGCCATGTGGATCCCCCGGCTTCAGACGGTATCACAGAGAGAACACCCACCCACACAGACAAGTGTCTGTCTGCGAGGAGGCTGCGAGCCTATCTTTTTTTCTTTTCTTGCCGCCAGACCCAGCCCCGTAGGAGAGGTCGGGGTCCCTTCAGGCTGCCCGTCTCGCCCCGCCGAGGGCTGCGTCTGAGCCCTGGCAAAGGGGGTGGGTGCTCGTTCATGTGCGGAGGTGTTCACGTTGAAAATAGAATCGTTGGAACTGCCAGTCTTTAACGCCCCTGTTTTGTAGTGGCACCTACCACTCGCGGGACGAGAGCACAGACAGTGGGCTGAGCATGAGCAGCTACAGCGTCCCTCGGACCCCGGACGACTTCTTGAACAGCGTTGACGAGATGGACACAGGTGGGCATCCTCCTGGGCTTGGTGGGCGGCCTTCAGTGACACAGGTGTTGTCGCCGGGACTGGGAGCAAAGGTTATTGGGAAGAAAACCAGTCACGAACCCCGTAAACTTCCGCTCCAATCGAGCCTGCTTTGTTTCTTTATGGCAGTTTGCAGTTAAAGTGTTTTCCCAGTTTTTAAACCCAGACAGCATCGCTCTATTTGAACACAGCTGGTGATGGGACTTATTTCATCACTTAGGAACCTGAGCTCGCTGGCAGGGCAGTGGGGGGCCCTCTCAGGAGTCCGTTGTCACGGACCTGTGTGGATTTGGTGTCCGCATCCCCCTCCCCTGGGGTTTCTGGTCCGGCGTAGTTGTTGGGGGCTCAGGAGAGCAGGGGAGTCAGGGAGCTGCTCCCCCTGGGGCTTGCTTGCTAACCCCTGATTGCCCCGCACTCCGGGCACCGATCGGCTCTCCGGCCAGCAGCTTCTCAGAGTGTTGGGTGTGTCTTTCCTGCCTGTGCTCACCAGCCCCTCCTCTTTGCTCCCCTAAATCTTCACTCACCCGCAGGTGCCCCTGCACACCTGGCCCTTTCCCATCACACTGTCCTTGCCCCTCTCTCCCCATTGCTCTGTTCTCCAAACCCCTGTGGCTCTTACTGGTTTATGGCTGCTGAAGCTCTAAGGAATGTGGTGCTGTTGTGTTCAGGAACGGTGTCATGGCAGGTACAGCAGGGACCCCCGGAGGAAAGCTAGAAGATTTGTGTAGTCACGGACTTTGGGGAGGCTTGTTTTGCTGTTGGGAATGGGAGTCTTCAAGAGCAGAATGCGGTTTTCATCCAGTGTCGTTAATGTTAGTATTCCGCTAAGGGCGCTTCAGGGAAAGGGGTGTGTCCTGATGTTTGTATCTGATCTTCCTACAGCGTGTGTTTCTGGGGGAGTCGGCAGTGATGCTCTCGTGTATAGCGGCCTGGCTCTGTCCTTGCTGGAGATAATGTTTTGAGGGATTTTTATTTCTTTCACGAGCCCCTTTAGTGCCGAGCACATAGTAGTAAGCACTTGAGCTGTTGCTTCAGTATCTGAACGAATGTGGAAGCAAAGGTAAACTTGGCACTGTTTTGTTTTCTGCAAGTTGTTAGCCTAAAATAAACCCTGGGCGTTGGCTCAGGTCAGTGGGGAGTGCTTTCCTTTCTCTGCGTTTCCAAATGCCTGCATACTAGAGCTCTGATGGTAGCTTTTCGAAAGGGACCTTATTCTCTTTTCTCTGCCCCAACTAGGTGACACTATCAACCAAAGCACCCTGCCCTCCCAGCAGAACCGTTTCCCAGACTACCTAGAAGCCATTCCGGGGACGAACGTGGACCTTGGCACGCTGGAGGGAGACGGGATGAACATCGAGGGAGAGGAGTTGATGCCGAGTCTGCAGGAAGCTCTGAGCTCTGACATCCTCAATGACATGGAGTCCGTGTTGGCTGCCACCAAGCTCGATAAAGAAAGCTTTCTTACATGGTTGTAGGGCTCTCAGGTAGACTGAATTCCCAATCTGTGAAGGATCTAAGGAGAAGTTTCTCGGTAAGCCAGTCGCAGTCTTCTGGTTAATAGCGACAAAGATGAACAGACGTCCCGCAAGAAGACTCTCTGACCCCCTGTTATCCCTCCTTGTGCATTGCTGCTGTTGACGTGTTGCTGGCCTCTTTCTCAGTTGGCTCTGGAGAATCAAAACCTGTCTGCTTCTTTTACCGTTGTAACTACTGTCTGTTCTGGGGGCCGGGGGAGGTGAGCCTGTTCGGATGATGGATGCCATTCCTTTTGCCCAGTGAGGTGTTCCCGATCGTTGTACTAAATGCTCAGACTTGGAAGTGAACCGCTTCACGTCACAGCATTGGCCTTGATCAGGCAGTTGTTTCTTTGGCCGCCAAGCCGAAACTGTTGCATCGATGTTCCGTACTTCATGCCGATTGGATGCGCAAGCGGAAACCAAGGCTGAAGACTGTTTTACTTTCAATGGTTTTTCCCCTCCTAGTGCTGTCATTAGTCACATAGTGACCTTGGTTTTATTTTAGGAGCTTATAAGGCAGGAGACCGTTTCCATAGAAATATTAATTATTGCCACATACTCTAGGATAGGTTTTGGTGGGTTTTCTTGGGGGTTTGTTGTTGTTTTGTTTTTGTTTTGTTTTGATTGGTTGGGTTATTTTTTTTGTTTTTGGTTTTTGTTTTAGTGTTTGTTTGTTTTTTTTTCCCCAGAACCTAAGACAAATTACCATAGTAGCCACTCCATTTGTAGTTTAGCTTTGGGGCAGTTATTGTAGTTCCTTTGGTAAAATCTACATTTCCTGATTTTTTACCATCTTATTTAAATCTTGATTATCCGCTCTCTCTATATATATACCCACACACACACTTATAATGTTTATAATAGTGTGATAGCAGAATGTATCTTTTTTTTAAGGTTTCCCTACTTTCCAATTTATTTTAAAACGGTAGTTTTGAATGTATGCATTTAGAATACGTGACTAGTAGTTTCTATCCCACAGGTAGTGTAAATCTGGTTGGGGCAGTCTGCAACATTAGCGGTAGCTGAGTGTTCTAGAAAGGGCCATTGTCATGGACAGTGTCTAGAGTACTGTATGCTGTCTGGGCACACAGTACTGTGATGAATTTGGAAGAAGCAAACAAGGCTTTATTTTCCTCTTGACACTCCCTTGGACTAATTTTGAGCCTCGATGGGAAATCACTAAGTAGGTTCACAATGTACATGACAGAAGTAAGCTTTACATAGTGGGTTACCTTCCTTTAGCTTTGGAAATTTACCGTGGCCCTAGTTTTGGAAGTAAATTCTAGTTCTTTAGTTCTCATTTGTAACAAACACATTAAAGACTACATTGAAATATTGCCTACAAGATTGCTGTTACTTAAAAAACACTTGCTCCTACTTCTCTATGCTGAGAATTGACCCTGGACAGTATATAGGATCCTGCCAAGGTTGTGAGTTAGCTGGTAAAGTGATCAGATTAATAAATGTATATCGGTAGTTGAATTTAGCAAAGAAATAGAGATAATCATGATTATACTTTTATTTTTACAGGAAGAGATATAACTAGAGTATGTGTCTACAGGAGTAATAATAATGGTTTCCAAAGAGTATTTTTTAAAGGAACAAAATGAGCATGAATCAACTCTTCAGTATAAGCTATGAAGGTAACAGTTGGTTGTGAATTATAGTGGCACCAGCTGGTACCTCTGTGATTAAGGGTCTTTCAATATTTTTAGAATAAGCCCTTATTTTCAAGGGTTTATAACAGACATGAAAATCTTTTTTCCTGGCTAAAACTGCTATGGAAAGCCTCAGCTCGGGAAGATAGATTTTTTTTTTTTTTAATTACAAAATCTAAGTGTTTTGACCCTTTAGTTGAGAGGACTGCAAAAGTTGGGAGTGAGAAGTTTTATATTAAGTACTTTCAGTGCTCAAAAAATGCAATCACTGTGTTGTATATAATGATTCATGGGTCGACCATTCGTCATTATTGACTCTAAGGCTTTTTATTAAGAAAACAGCAGAAAGAGTAAATCTTGAATTAAGTCTGAGGGGAAATGGCCACTGTGCAGATTCATTGATTTTTTTTTTTTTTTTTTGAGAGCAATAATGAAATTCTACCTAGAATGCATAACTGAGTATATGGATGATCCAGCGTGGTGTTTTTTTTTTCTCACATGCTGCAGATCAGAGCTACTTGGAAGGAGCGCTTACAGTCTGCCAGTAAGCCACAGGTTAAGATCGCATCTTAAACATCAACAGGGTAGCTTTAGACTAGGGGGCGGGTGGGAACGTGGGGGGGGTCGTGAGGACTTAGTGGGACCTTGATAGAGAACCTGATAAGCTCCTTTTTTTCCCTGTAAAGACTTGTCTTGCATCTTGCTGTAATTGAAGGCAGTTGTTCCCAAAAGTTCAGTCAGTTGAGTGTGTCCACAAAACGGGAATACAGAGTTCGTGTCCCCGAGACTCTGGTTTGCCCGGTCACCGTGCCCTGGGGTACCCGACCGCGCCCTTTGCACTCACCTGAAGGACACGTAGCAGTCCTTCCTCTTTCTGAATTTGAATCACAGCCTTGATGTGGTCTTTTTTCTTCTGTGTCCTTGTTCCTAATGTTAACGTGTTTAACTGCTTCTTGGTTGTATTGGGTAGCATTGGGATAAGATTTTAACTGGGTATTCTTGAATTGCTTTTACAATAAACCAATTTTATAATCTTTAAATTTATCAGCTTTTTACATTTTGTGTTCTTTTCAGTTAGGGCTTCTTAGATCTGCTTATGTTGATGGAGGACACTGATTTGGAGTTTCAGATTTTCCAAAGCACTACTTGTGGTCATAACTATTTTCTAAATATAGTGCCTTTTTTAGAAAAGGAAAAAAAGAACATTAAGGAAGTGACTTTTGTATACAAATAATATTGTTTTAAGTATTCATATGAAATAGATGCATCCTATAGGGAGCTTGGCAGAAACACTGAAAAATAACCGTAATTAATTGTAACTCATAGTTCGTACCAGTCCGTGTTGAAACTCACAGTGCAGAGGTGGGAGGTGGTATCCATTGATTAACAACTTCATAGTTTTTACACATCTGAGAGATGAGTGCTCAGATGAATTTTGTCTTCGGCAAGCATATTTTTATAAGAATTTTGGGTGTGCCTATTTTAACAATTGTTTTCTGTATCATGAAAAGTATTCTCCACAATTTAAATGTTTTATATTAGAGAACTCTTTAATGCACACTTGTCAAATTTATATATATAGTACCCATATTACCTTTTTATTTTTTTGTTTTAGATGTGAGAGCATGCTCATGTTAGGTACTTACATAAATTGTTACATTATTTTTTCTTATGTAATACCCTTTGTTTATGTGGCTCAAATATATTCTTTCTTTAAACTCTCCTTTGTTGTTTTTAACGATTGATATATTTAAGACTTTTTTGGCTTCTTCACGGTTTCAATGGAACCAGTATCAGAAGGAAATGGAAGGTGGTTGTCGTGACTGGTACGCAGGTCTAAACAGGAGGTCGGTTTGGCATTTGGGACTTTGGAAGTACGGTATCCTTCTTTGAACCTGACGCTCCGTGCTCCTTGGGCCGACCGTCTGCACTGACGGTGGTGTGTCTGCAGAGGACAGGTAACCACTCGGAGAAACTGAGGGGGCTTCACAGTCTTTCCAAAATAGCCTGTGGTTTTATTTCTCCAGAATACTTTCTCATGGTCTCCAAAATGTAACACTTATATTGGTGAAAATAGTTACTGTTTTATAAATAAAAACATTCACAAATTTAGGTGGTAGGTCCTGAACTTTAAGAAGTGGATTTGATTGTCTTTGACGATTTATTTGTGTACTTGTGTAACATCTTCAGTCTTTGACACACATCAGTTTTACTGAGGGAAATCTGAAAACTTCCTGTTTTCTTACATATACTTTCTTTACAACAGAGGCACACTCACTTTGTGGCCCTTGAAATGGATCCTGTCCCTTGTCTGAAATGCAGTGGTGGTGTATCTTGGCTCAGAACCGTATCCTGTGTGTCTGGCGAGGCGGCTGTGCCGAGAGGCAGCGTACTTTCTGTGGGGTGGCTTGAAGTCCGGTCGCGGGAGGCCACCCTCCTCCTGATCCTGTGGGTCAGAACTCTACACCCTGCAGATCACTGGCTTGGCCGTGTGAGGCAGCAGGGTCTGTGCAAGAATGTAGGTAATTTGGATGTGGAAGTGTGCCCTCTAGAGAGGACAAGGATGTGCCTTCTAAGTGTTTGGCAGGTACTAGTAGTCCTACTTACAACCTGATACCGAGTAATTTACTTTTTTTTTTTTGGAAAGACCCAAACTAAAGTAACATAGCTACGTAAATGAATAAATGAATTGCTCAGCTGGGGTAAACAGAAATGGTTTTCCAGAGACAGAGAAAGCACAGTAACTAGTAAACCCACGTGGTGACTGGGGGAGCGGCTGGTAGACAGGGAGCTCTGCGTCATGCCCCCAGCTGTCCTCATGTCAGCTGGGGTTGCAAAAGAGCGTCCCCCGCCCGCCTCCCGGCCCCCATCATGGGTGCTTGTCATCTGTGGGAGCAACCAGCTGCCCCTGGTCCCGGCAGCTACAAATTACATTAGGTTCATGTTCACTTCTGGTGAAGGTCTGGCTTGACTACTGGGTAAACGTGTGTGTCTGGGGCTCCGCGTTGGCTGGTGCTGCCGAGATCAAACACGTACCATGCCGTCCGTCCCTGTCCCACTTCAGACTGTCGGCATGGAGTTGCTCTGTTTCACTAATCACAAGAAACTTGATAAACCGCCTTTTTTGATGAAAAGTCTAATTACTGTATTAGACATCAAACAAATATGCGACATCTAGTACTGCGGTTTTTCCAAATCACACATGGAATGTTTTTGCCATATTATCTGTATATTTAAAAAACTCTACATAAAATGGGTAACTTCCTAAGTGTAAACATAGCCTTGACCTGGCAGGCTGCATCATGTCACTAGGGAAACGTGCAAGATTGAGGCATGAGCAAAAGCAAGATGGGATTGAGAAGATACTCTGAATTTTAAAATCTACCATATTTTAACAGAAACTTTTGAACCAGGAGACCTGACATCCAAGCTGCTAGGACCCTGTCAGAAGTTTAAAAAACAGCAACAAGAAAACAAAACAAAAAAAAGGGGGGGAGGAAAGAAAAGCAGTATCTGTGTGCTATTCAAAGCAATATTTGGAAATACCTGAGCAAAGAGCCAACTTTGCAAAAATCCCTAAACAGCTAACCTAGTGCTTAGAATGGTTTTGCCAAAAAGGGGGAAACTATTAAATGCCAGTTACTGTGACTTTGTGAACTTGATCTTAGTTCATACTCGAAGTGCACGAGTGGACAGGGCTTGGTTCTCAGTCAAGGAGCCTCTTCAAGAAACAGAGAACAGGACCTGAACCGGGAGGGCACCCTTAGCACGCCTGGCCAGACGGCAGACTGACTTCTCACGGAGAGGACACACCTCACCTG